TCTACTCTTTCATTTTCCACCTGTTCGCGGCCTGACAGCATACACGTTTGTTCTCCGTTAACCGATAGGGAATTTTAATTACGCCTTCCTTCTCCCGTAGATTGAACTGTCGCTTCTCCCCGTCTCTTGTACGTGCTTTAACACTTTGACGGCTTCATTCTTTGCCAGATATTAGAAGGTAGTGCAACACGCCCAGGTGCAGTAGGTATAATAGAGCTAAATGAGACCTGGAAACGTGTCAGGGTCGTTGTATAACCTTTCGTCTCGAGGAACTCGTCGGAGGATTTTTATCCGTCAAGTTTTCGCGAAGATGTCCCCTGCAGAAACGTCCAGCGATCGCGTAATAACGTGTCTCGTCCAGAGACTTCTCTTCAACTGGTTCCCACAATTTTCCGTACCTCCGACTACCTTGTTCCACTTGTCACACCTGTACACCGACCTTTATACGTTTTCTGTTTTGTTTCAGGTGAGTCCAGGAGACGTGGAATTACTTTTGGTGGCGGGACAGCAATGGTGGGTAAAGTAACGATTGAAAAAAATTACAAACATCCGCTCTGGTTGCCAGGTGTCGACCATCTGAGAAAACAATCATTCCGTAGTATAATTTCAATAGCGACAAAGTTGGTCAACTTGGTATGAGAGTACGTTGCTCAGTAGGGTGAGCTAGTTAATTAAAGAACAGCTGAAAAAGCAATTGTACTCGGTTGAAATTACACGGTAGGGAGGGTAGGAATGACCAATAAGGACAATACGCGCTCGGTATCGGTACTCGTTTTTTTCCGCTCTACAAGTTGGTGCGCGTGACGGGCAGGAAACAACGAAGAGCGTGTACATCCGGAAGCGTTGATGCGCTCAATGCCTCCCTTCCGGTAGCCGCGTGTCCTCGGCATCCCGGTACCGGCGAACAGTGCCGTAAGCAACATCACCACGCGACGCCCGGCGTCTCTTCTATCAACCGACTTCCCTTTACGCTACGCAGATGGCACTACCCGTCGCGTACCTTCACCTTCTTTTACCTTTACCCTTACCTATCGGGTAAATCGTTATATCGGGTGATAATTTTCTTCTAAGGTTTAGACCTCTTAAAAATTATATTAAAATCAATTCACTTTTCCGCTTCATTACGGATTACAAATCCGTAAAATCTTGAAAAGGGGGCTATAGCGTTTAGAGTTTCTGTCACTTTTGCACAGGACAAACGATAAGTGGGTCAAAATCTCAAAGAATGGCCAAAATTTAATTTTTTTTGTTTTTTGGGGGTGTTTTTGCCATTTCCGGTCTGACCACTTTAGCTTGTTTTCTACTAAGGATTTTTCTACAACACCTTGACGTACAGAACTGGAAAGTATATTCAAATTAATGAAGAGTTTGTTAATTTTTTGAACACGACTTTCTTCGTGGATGTAACCAACATTTCATACAGGCGAGTCATGTACTCGTATCTTTCTTACGGTGTTTTGCTTTTCCTTTTCTGACAAGAGAAATCTTTCTAAAGGTAACGGAACGCGGGCAGGTTGCAAACAATACGCTTGAAAAAAGTTTCAAAGCAGAAACTTCTTTTTTTCACCGAGTTCCATGCTGCAGAAAAATGAAAAAGTTACACTCGTGGAGTAGTTACAGTGAAAAAAAGAGCTTTTCTTTTCACGCATCGCCACAGGGTACTCGATTGCTCTCGCAGTGACAAATAAAGTTTCCATTGAAAAGCTGGAAAGGTCGAAATAAATATGAGCAAACGAGCTGGGGAGCTGAACTCTAGAGAAATTAGGACCAACTCTGTCGATGTAATTCATTCTCCTTCCCTGTCTCCCTCTTTCACCAACTGGTTTGCAAATTTCATTTGGTTCAGTGGTGTGCAAGCCGTGGTACGTGCACAGTGTTCCAAACATTCGGCTGTTAACATTATCCAGCCGGGAAATAACGACGAGAATTTGCAAATTATACTGTTTATTTTTGGTTAATGCACAAAGCGTGAATTACATCCACGCTAATGACGAATAGTGCGCCAGATATTAGTGGGAAATGATATTTCCTAAAGTATCACCGTTCGCTAATAATTGATAATCCAGAAAATTGTGAAAATTTGTTGAGAACACACTATTTACATCCAGTAAACATTATTTTTATGTGCTGGTAATAAACTATTAAAATTTTCGAAGCACGCAATGAACTGCAAATCAATGAAAAATTGCAAACAAAATATGCCAACAATATGGATTCGTTTTAATCATGGACAATAACCTTTCGTCATTTATTTTTCAATACGTCGCTCTGTTTCCATTTTCACGGGTGTATTTCAATGGGGTACGAATAAAATTGCGTATTTGTAATTGGAGCTTGCATTAATTCTATTGTTTCGCGTTTGTCAGGGACGAAATATCGGTATCGACGTTATTATGGAATCCCGCCAGTGTAATCCATCTGAAGGGCTATTTGTAAATTCGTACACGTAATCGTAGCTTTTCAAATATGATCAATCCAACGAGCAATAGCGAGTGAAATTAGTAAAACAAATTTTTTGACAGTGAAACATTCCTTTCTTCTTGATTTTTTAAATATTAAGTAGATCGATTCTGTCCTATTGAACAATCAGGTCGAAAAATCGAAAACGAGAAGCAGATTTGGCTCGCAAGTCACCCCAGTTAGCTACCTCTGACGTGTCGTAAATTGAACAAGAAGCAAACAAAGAGTGGTCGTATGGTCGTATTTCCTAAGTTAAATAAGTGCACACATAATCCAGCGGTCTTTTCGATTCCAGTAATGCGGAGTGTACGACCAACATCTTTCACATGCGTACAAAAGATGTTTATTCCGATTTACGAGCTAAGAGTTGTATCATTCGGCAATCCGCTCGTAAATCTTGCGCGTCACGAATCGAAAACAGACCCATCGTTTCGAATAGCAAATTCTTTCCTGTTCGCGTACGGCGCGCGATCAACAATGACAAGATTCCCGATGAATCAACCGTGGAGACAGTTGAAAAGCCGTGGCACGCGAGAAACGTTCCATTGACTGATAACTGATAACAAGCCGACGAAATCGTTGAATGCGACAAATCGTTCGTTTGATCGATCAAAAGGGGAGCAACGCGGAACGGACGCGTTCAAGTATCTGACTCCTCATCCGTCAGCCAGTTCGATTCGATACTTTGCTCGATAATGCAATCGACGCGAGTTACGAAACTGTTGCTCGATCGAGTGTGTACGTAGCCGAGATCGAGGATATCGACTTTCTGACAAATTGCTAGGATCGAGTGATCGTTAGCCCCGTTAACTGATGATGACGACTGATAATCCGAATTCGAAGTGTCCGAAAGTGGAATTTCCCTCCCACGCTCACGAAAGCTAATACCTAGAACAGAATATTCGTCTAAGAGCCTAATTATTCCTTCTGCTATGTTGTCTCGGTTCTATTACGATGACTTTCTAAAGATAGACGTCATTGTTGCTTTTTTTAACTAAAATCTGTCACCCACCCAAGATTCAGAGAACTTCAGATTAGCAATTTCGAAGGAAAACTTAGCTCGCGTAGCGATGGGTTAAATCACCCGGCTATCCGATACTCGCAATTTTCATTTTCAAGTTTTCACAATTTAGTCATATTTCGAGTTTTGAAACAGCCGCTATCTTTCACTTAATTAATTTAAGTTCTGTATTTAATGAATGTGGTAATTAATTTATGTTCTGTGAACATGCGCGTGGACGGGAGATGTTACATTTTATATCTGATAGAATTGAAAATGATTCAAGGTGTTCGCTAACCCGTTACTAGCCAGATGTGTTGCCTCGAGAAAGCAGACCTCGCTCGTCAGCTTTACTCGGCTCTGCTTTTTCCTTCCTTCGCTTTGTGTTTACGCGTTTCTAATTTTACATGGAACCAACGCGTATATCATCGCGGGGGCGTCCGACGGATTTTCCACTGTAAATCATTTATCCCCCTTTGTTCGGTGGCAACTAGTACAATACCGTCAACGTTTCTACTTAATTAAGCGTTTCGGGGAACTTGAATAGGGTATTCTCGTTCGCGCTTGTTCGAAGGTCTCTTAGCTACTATTCCACCGCGAATCAGCGTTGCAAAACGAACCAAGTCGTGACAACTGTAATTCGCAATTCCCAATTCACCCAGTCCCTCTCGTTCATGACTTTCGATGCTTCAATTAATCGTTTCGAATCGTTTTCGATTCTATGCATAATCCCCTTCTGCTGTTTTGTTCGAGTGCGGTATCAAATGGCTAGCGAACTGTTAATTTTCCTCCCTGCTTTATTCGATGCTTTTACGAGCAGAACGTTCCGAGAAATCGTTAATATACTCATTTGATTTTTTAATGTAATTGCAAATAAGTCTACGCAGCGATGAGTAATTATCGCAATGATGGGTAATTAAGGCTGGCAAGTACATCGGCCGTATGGTCGGTACTTTCTGACGAATCAGAGGTTGGTGGGGTGACTGTTAGGAGGGGCACCCTGACGCTGTCGGAGAAGGTAGTTCTACAGCTGGTGGCGGCCGATTGGGGTTTGCAAATACCAGGAACATGCAGCGTGCACCGTGCATCGGCGAATATTCGGCAGTTGCGCGACGAGCGTCCATCGAAGCGGTCGCGAGATGCGCTTCCCGTTCGAAGCTCGCGATTACTATCATTCCGTGGTTTCCGCGACACCGATCAAGAGAACAAACGTGTCTATCAACACCTTTCTTTTTGATAAGAGGTTTGAATACAAATGAGTCGAGAGAAAGAAATTCAAAAGAGCTAATGGAGTGCGCGTGGTGGATAAAAGAAACTTCTTTACTAGAAACTTCATTAGGTTGATGAAATTAAATTGGCTTACCATGACCCCGGTTAAAGTTAACTCGATAAAGAGGAAAAAGGAGAAATGTAAACGTGTGTGTGCAGGCGTATGCGTGTTAGTATCCCTGAAAAGATAAAATAGAATCGTGAGGAAGGGGTTTAAAAGAGCTGATGCGGCGTGTGTTTATTTCATCGGAACGGTGAGATTAAATTGTCCTAAATGTAACGCTACATTAAATTAAAAGATTCTAAAGAAAAAATTGAATTCTCCAGGAAGTAGATTCGCAAACATGGTTTGTTGAGTATCCTTGAAGCGAGTATGAGAATTTAATGCATTTCGCAACGTCGTTTGGACCGTGTACTCTATTTCTTGCAAGCAATATGCTCCATTTAATTTTCCGTAATATTAAAATGTGAGCCCGCGAGAAATCGTACTACCGGAGAATCGATAATAATGGTCAAGTAAGGTCTTCTACGGTATTAAAATCTGGCTTTTCGATTCCGAGGTACAAACGTGTTTAAAATGGGGCACGATATCTTGCAATTTAAAATAAAATTTAGCCGTTAAATCACTCGTCGAGTCAGCAAAAAGCCAGACCTCGTAGGAAAAAGCCGTGAATGTAATCGACAAATATAGCATCTGGCAACAGTTGCGGTAAGCTGAGCATGTCTTCCTCATTCGTTGAGTGTAATTTTTGAAACGGTCGCTTCAAACGATGTACCTCTAATAAGATAACTGTCTGCTGAAACTTTCGATTAATTTAATTCGCCGGTCAGTTCATTAGAAAATGTTCCTCTGTAGCGCGTACCCTCTTTGCTGGAAGTTTCAGGAACGCCAATCTCGTCTACACCAACTTTTACAAGAACAGACGTTCTTCCGTTCCCTTCAAGTATTCGCGAAACCTTGGATCGCGTCGCGTCTTGTCGGTTCAACGAGTTATTCAACAAGGTCGTTTGTAATCTTATCAGGCCGAGTCTGCAGCAAAAGTGCAGCTGTTCTGTTGAATTTCATACCTCTTCTTCGAAGCAACGGGTAGCTGTTCGATACACGAAACACCCAAAGTCGTCCCTGATAGAATCGACCTTGCGTTCTCCTGATTCGCTTCTTCCTTTTACTACCTCGTACAGATTCCGCAGTGTTATAAAAAATTCACTTGTCCTAGCTCGACTTTCCACCCTTTGAACCAGACACGCGTCACTCGAGATTTGACTTTACTTTCATCGAGGAAGACTCGCTAATATCCTGTTGCTTTTCTAAACTCAGCGGTTTTGTATTATTCTGGCGGATTCGCAGTTTTCATAATCATCCTTTGCAACTATTTATATGGAACTGTTATTGGAGGATAGCGGTAACGATCCTGCAATATTTCCGACATATATACCAATAAAAATTGTACGCGTACATTGTGCGTACATCGTACGTAGCAACGGAGCCAAAAATCCAGCACATTTGTCTCGCGAGCGTTCCCCGTAATATCCGCGATATGGCAGCTTTGTAGGAAGTAAGAAAACATTGAAATCAACCGCGTATAGCGCCGCGTACGCGAATCGATACGTGTATATTCGTTTCAACAGCTATTCTACAGACCCTTTCACAGATGACAATAACGATAACGACGAAGGGGGTTAAATCGCATGCGGAATCGTCTAATATAAACCGTTGCTCGGCGCCCGGGTTCGGCCTCCACGTGGCTGTTTCGAGGGAAACGCGCGACGCGAGAGTGCAACAAACTGCACGGATTGCAGTCGGAGTGACGTTTTCCACGTCCCTGGAAGCCGGAGCTGATTCCTCCCACCGTCGACTCGTTTAATCGCTCGCTCGCCTCCTGTTCGTCGGACTTGCCTCGGTTCCTTAGCGTCTGCGCGTCTCCTCGGCTCCACGGCTCGTCTCCATCGCCCACTCACCACCACGCGAAATCCCCACGAGATCGCGAATTTAAAACTCTACAGTAGCCGCAGTGTCGAATGTGCGAGCAACCATGCGAGGAACCCGACGAGGCGCGGACGTGAACCGTGTTCCAACAAAAACCCTTTCTCTCGACTCCTTTTCTTCAACCACCGTCCGTGCTCTTTCGCTCAAGTGTGAACTTTACTAGTTTCTCTCTCCACAGTGTGCTTAACCAGAGGAAGAGGAGAAACACAATGTGCTTCCAGTTAAGCGTACTTTCTTTGTTCCTCTCTGAAAAAATTATCACACCGTGAAGTGCCTTATCATGAATACGCGAAACTTTTACAGACCCCGTAACGAAGCGTCTCTTAATTAACCATTAATTGGGGCGGCAATCGAAATACGGTACCTCTATTTCCTGCATCGTGGGAATATGATCGAGGTATACTCGTCCCTCGCGCAATCCTCCAAGAGGAATAAACACGAGAGTATCGGGAAAGTTTACAGCAAACTTCACCGATTGCCAGCAGCAGAGGAAGAGGATCGACCTGTAACAGTAGTTTCAACGCACGGTTCCACGCACGACCGTTTCTTCTCTACTTCGAAGAGCAAACTTTCTCTGCTTTTTACCTGTCCGTTTTAACGCGTAACTTAAAGGCTCCGGAAGAAAGGCAACTGTACTCGGGCGAAGATTCTATTAATCTTTTTATTCGTTCGATATTCGCGGTCGTTAGAGACCACGGGATCGAGCGGTTCATAGCTTGTTACGGACACCTCGGGGACACGATCGAGCTGTTGGTTCCCCAACAATCGCGCCGGTGGTTCGGGAAACTTGGCAACAAACTTTTACCTTTTCTTTGCACTCGTCGTCTATCGCGAGGATCACGGAGAAAAGTTGGTGCACGATCGTCTTTGAAGAGGAACGCGAGGCTAACGGCAAACAGCAGATGAGTATCTCTTTGACTGATCGAGTAGTGTTTTTTGCACAGGAGAAAATATGTTTGTCGTACATCAGGGGCAATGGGGTAGAGCGGTCAGACCGTAAGAGTTACGAATAGAACGGAACTGAAACCGCGAGAAAGTTTATGCGCGTATCCTGAAAAGGAAACATGGGGGACGATAGAGAAAAAACGGCCCGTAGTATATAGTCTGATTGGCACGAAGCCGACAAATATCGTCTCGAGAGTGTTGAGTACAGCACCGATGTGGCGTCTATCAGCTTTTCACCACGAAAAGCATCGATCAACGGCCCGTAAATGTCGAAAACGGTAGCACGGATGCCAGCTCGATGCCTCATTTTTGTTGCTTTATCAATCTCTTTCGAAATCTTTTCTATCAATCTTTTTCTACGCTTGCACGTGGTCCCGTTTCGCGTACATGTGTGCGGTTTCTTGTTACACACGATCGCATACACCTGGTTTTCATTCAACCATCATCTTTCCTCCTGTATCCTCGTGATTGGATTACAGTATCGTCTCTCTAAGTGGCGTATCCTCCTGTTTTTTCATTTCTGTAGAAATAGCAACGACGGTATCCTAGCTTTTTGGATAGTTCGGGTTATGTTTCAGAGTTGGTTTATCTCCATACGATATGCATACATACGTATAAATTACGTAATATACATACATTACGTTTTATGTTATACTCAATTCTCGTGTAGTAAAGATTTTCCATTAAATTCAACCGGGATTTCTGAGTACATATTGAACCAGTTCTTACCCTTAGCGAATAGAATAACAGCTTAAAGTTTCGAAGCAAGTTCCTCATCCGACAAGGAAAATTCCTCGAATATTATACTGGTATTTATCTAAATGAGAAGATGTTATGCACCGATAGATCCACTCGCGTGAATCTTTAATTAGGCACTAGAGACACTTAATGGTAAAGTTTCGACAACCCTTATCAATTGCTGCATAAGCATCCCTTTCGTGCGAATGATCGTGGCACGGTTAATAAACCTTCGCTACATCCTCGAAGTAGTTAAAAGTACCTCTGCACTCCATCAGGAATTTGCACTGTCTCGTTCCTAATGAAGACCTCAACTTTTCGCGCGAAGAATTATTCACAATGTCGTTTCGTTCGATGAAATGCGAAGCAGGATGGAAAATTTTACTGTCAGAGACTGCGAACCAGTTGAAAGTTATCCACGGGACAATCTATACAACCTGATAATCCATTCGTAAATCATACTCGCCGACGATTCATCCGGGAGATGATATTTCAGGTACGCTTGAATAAGACGCGTTCCTTGGCGTGAATACTCTCATTTATTTCAATCGTTTTAACGGTTAACGCTTTGATGCGTTGAAGATAAGTTTCCATCTACCTTCGGGCTTTCTCGCAAACTCGTTCGCGATGTGATTATAACGCCAGGACTATTATTTGAATTTCATAATGCAACCTTAATTCGTTTAATGGGAAGAAACATTTTCAGCGTCGCGAGAATCATTAATTACGTTCTTATAATAACCCTGCCGTTAGCCGACAAAGAGGACATCCCAGATATCCTGCGCTCTTTTTTATAATGCGCTTATCGTTAGCAATGCATTACCTTCTTGAATCGGTGCCATTTACAGAGGTACAATACTGTAACTAATTACCTCCACGTTTTCCTGCTTTTCTAGCCGTTTTCCTTTGCGCACTGGCTTCTCGTCTTTTATACCAACTGGAAGAATATAATTGTTTCTTTGGTCGTCGCTATCCTCGAATCATTCTCCTCTGCTGTTCACCGACCTGTTCGGTTTTTCTTTTAAGCCATACATCGCTGACGAAAGAGGTTGGCTTTTCGGCTTTTTACGTATCTCTTCTTTTTTTTTTTTTTTTCTTTTGCCACAGTAGACGACAAAATTCCTGTCCATGAAACACAAACGACGCGTCATTCTCCTTTTTCATTCGCGCAGGATGCGTCAGTTCAGCTCCGGATCCTGTCGCCAGGACGTCGCCGCTGTTGGCCTGAGCAAAGGTAATGCTGACGCTTCTTCATCGATTTTTCAATGCAACTGCGAAAAAAAAGATGCAGAAAGAGCGAAGGCTCGCTATTTTATTATCTTTGTAGTCGAACAGTTTTCCTTTAGGATAATTGCGAAAACTTGTCGACACGTAAGTACACTAGTGGAATTAATTCTGGACGCTTAAATTTTTTACTATATAAATTATTTAATATTTTATATTTTAATCATTGTTTTATAATTTTAGGGCGTCGCTTATATAAAAAAATCAGTGAAAAGAGCATTTACAGCCATGATTTTAATATGCAATATTAAAATAATTACAATTTCAGCACATCAAAGGAGGTAAAAAAAAATTAATATTTCGTTGGATATCCTTTCATCCTGTAATCGGCTATTTCGCATCATGCGACGTTTCGTGCTGCCAGACGCAAAAACAAAAATAACAACACAATTTAGATTTTTTTAAATTAAAATTTTAAAACATTTACAAACCAAATCAATTTAGCATAGCAGAATATACGTTTTCTGCACAAATATGAAATAAAGAATATTTTTATTCAAAGTGTCCAGAATTAATTCCGCTGATGGCCGGGTCAATCGTACCTCAGACGTACGATGCAATCGGGCTGTTTGATATTTGGTTCGAAACAGTTTACGTGTTTGTTTGGAAAATTTCTGCAAACTTTCGGGTGGCTGATTCATCGAGGTGGAAAGTGATTTACGGGTTTACTTTGAGAATTCCTTGAAACTTTGATCAAATCACAGTCGAAATATTTAGTATTTGATTGGAAACAGTTTACGTAGATGTTTGCTTCGAAAATTTCTTCGAAACTTTTGTCGAATTCGAAGCAAACAAAGAAGCTTTACAAGTCGAGATGATCGCGGAGGTGACAAAGTCGCTGGGATAAGACCTGGAGCGATTGTGATTCCGTTAGGGCCACTGACTCTTTTTCTCTCTCTCCTCTCTCTACCTCTGTATGTTTGCCGTGCCGCTGGTTTACCATGACGAGAACATAATTGCTCTTCAACGAAACGAACCTCGCCTTTCCCCGCAGTTTACCGACTAATTGTAAGGCGAATTTCTCGGTTCGTTAACACTTTTCGTGAATCATCTACAAAGTACTCACAGGCGTCTCTCTTTTTATACCCCTTTACGCACGATCTTGGTGGCAGAATTCCAGCAGACAATCACAAAAGAGAAACTGAACGAGTGTTATTTGCCGGGAGGAAATAATCTTGGAAGAATTGGCAGAAACTTGGTAAAGAGGAAAAAAGTAAGAAGATGCTGGATTAACGAGAGAAATCGAGTGGTAATGATAGACTGAGTGAAAGAAAAGCGAGCTGTAAGGGTAGTTGAACGAAGTTTAACCCAGGGGTGTCGATGAAGAGGCTGGCGAGAAAGCTGAATAAGAAAAGTAAATATCTGCCAGAGGGGATATAAAAGCGAAGGAAAGGCGAGGAAAGCTGACGGGATATGGTTTTAAATCGTAGTTGAAAAATGCCAATATTTTCTCCTCTATTCGCAATAACAGTTTATCGTTATTTTATTTTCAACAATTTTACGATGTAGCTGATAACTCTATGGAGAAATAACGATCGCAATTCGAGCGCGTTCCGTTGGTCTTTTTTGGAAAAAAATAACAAAAAATAACATCGATACCCATCGACATGCGAGGAACATACCCCTTCGCAAATATTCGTGAAATTTCCACCGGGGTTCTCGTTTCCGGCCTCGGACGGTTTTAATTTACTCTTCTGTTTATTTCCCGTTTCCCCATCCGATACGTTGCCACCTTCTGTATTTCAAATTCCCCGTGCCTGTGTACCTGTTTTCGAATCCCGTGATTTATTTCAATGAAAGGTTGCCACCGTCAACCGTTATTCGTTTGAACGTTACATATCGAGAGTTATTAATTAATAACGTCGGCAGATGATGGGAAAATTCCCCGTGATGATCGAACATTATTGATTTCTCATGTTCCCTGGTAGCTGCGGTAATTGATAGATCGTGCTGGAAATGTTGCCTCGAACCAGCTATTGCCTGATAACATTAGCGCGATGAATTGCATGACCTGCGTACACAGCTATTAACCGAATTTTCCGCCTTCTTTCGCGAAAACAACTCCATTTTCATACATTAAATTTCTCTAAACGTTCCGGGATGATAGGAATTACAATAATAAAGAGCTGTTTGCTGCGAAAGAACTAACTTTTATGGAATATTTAAATTATCCCAGGAAACGAGCAGTGCAATCGACGTTGAAACATATTTCTCAGAATCTGAATTTTACCCGAATAATTCCTCCTGTTTGCCTCGCGAGACGTAAAACTAATTTTCCCGTCGACAGAGTCGTTATTCCGTTCCCTGCAGCCCACGATCGCCGGTAATTAAATTATAATTAACGCGGACGGTCGGTGAACATAATTGCAAAATTTCGAGATGATTGATATTTTTATGCAGCCGGACGACTCGCGGAAGTACGTCGGGCGACCATCAGGACTGACGTCCGCATCAATTTCCGGGACTTGTAACAATCAAGCTATTATGAGGATTATTTTGAAATTACATTTCACCTGTCGCCTCATTATAAACCGTAATATCAGTTTCCATAATTGATTGCGATTAATTTTGCACGATGCAAACGCAACGCGAAGGGTTCGATACGGAAACACCCTAAAAGTTTTTATAATCTCGGATGCAAAACAATATTTCTCGATTACATTTATCGGAACAATTATTACGCTAATGAGGGAAGTTTTCGTGTTTACTCGCGCGATTCATCGATTCGTTAGGTTATTAAAAGTTACAAACATAGAATTTTGCGGTTCGTTCAACCTCGATGAAACCAGCTGCAATACGCTACGTTTACACCTGGATAATTTAGTCGAAAGTCAAAGTTGTTAAAAAATATTTGAATAAAGTATGAATATTAACGAAAGTTGGCTCGATCGTTAATGTTGTAACGTAGTCGTTGGACGTTGCAACAGGGATGAAAAGAGGGGATGACGCATCGGGTCACCCTCTCTGGTCGTGTTTTACTGTTAAATGAACTATGACTGAAATGCAGTCTCTGTTTAGACGTCGTTTCGCTGCTGATGGGCATGGTCAGGTTTCGTCTGCCGGAAATACGGTGGATACCTACTCGGAAACTCGAGGTGTGTTAGACGTGAAATATGAAGAGTTTTACCCTGATATATTCTACTCACTTAGTCCAGCAAAGCGAAGGAGCTTACTAGTAGACCAAAACGAAATATCCCTTATTCCTTCTTGCTTCCTTTCCGGAATCTATGTTGGCGATGTAGCGTAACCATTTCACCGCATGGTTAAAATGGGTAGTAAAACGGCCTAAAACCACCTGCGGTTGCGGAACAGGCCGCTTTATATACCAGCTTTGTTACTGCCAGCTGCCATAGTAATATGTGTTTTCCCTTAGCTACGTTATCGACAGATATATTTTATCGATGAATTCCGACAATCCCTCGACACCTTCCTGTGAAAATCGAGGATCGTACGTTAAATTGTCAGGCGGAGAGAAGGAAGAGTGAATTTTTACCGAGGTTTCCTTCTATCTCATCCCTTGAGTCTAAGTGAGTTTAATCGATTGACAGACTGCGGTTGCGCACGAAAAATTTATAAAGCATCTTTACCCGGGCACTTCGTTATGCACATCTTCCTTAGGTACGCGATGCCTTCGATTCTTTCCAGTTTCTGCGGCTATGAAATATCTAGGAATTATTAATAAAAGAATGAAACTTTAAAATGAAAAATGAATAAAATTAAAGTTGCTCGGATGAAATCGGTTAGGAAACTCGTAACCATCGGAAATAAAAGGGAAGGGCGGAGGAAGTAGCGTGAGAGGGTTGGTCATTTCGCGATTCGCGACACCTGGAACACGTAGATTGTCGCACAAACAACGGTCCACCGTGGAGGATCGATCGGGCCAGCGGAAAAGGAAACGTCAAACGCAGCAGGTGACTCACTCGGTGACTCATGCATAATTTATTTCGACTTTGTTATAGCGATCGCGTGTAGAAAATGCACCGCTCTCCGTAACTGTCGCAAAGGTTGCGCTATGCTAATTCGCAGCTAAAAATTGCAAATGCATTCCACCTGAATCGAAATAACGCACCTGCTATTAGATATCTGGTCAATTTTCGAATCGTTGCTTTACCATTTCGTTATAAAATAAAAATAGTAAAAAAAGAAAAGGCAAAGACGAGGATAAGGATAATGTGAATGAACATTTGTTCGCAGTTTCGACGAGACGTCGATGGAAAGCTGCCCGTTGTCAGCGATCAGCGATGTTAGAGGGAACGATTCGTCGAAGGAGGTGCAGAACGAGGTGGAGGTGACATCCCTGGAGGAGGCGAAATCGGTGATAGCCGCGTTAAGAGCGAGGCAAAGGGCACAGGCGCATCAGATGCTCGCTTGGCGGAGGACCCTGAAATTGCAGGTAAACTTGTCGGTATCTTAAAAGGGGGAAGAGGCTTTCGCAATTACCAGACGACCGGTTCATCATTGGCGTCTTGTCTGCTCGTTGGTTAAAGCCATTATCTAGTAAAACTTTGAAGAGGAATCGGTACCCGCTTCCGGGCTCGGCTAGACGTCTCGTGACGGCCCGCTATTTCCCTCCCGACGTTGCGTGACTACGAACAATCCATTCGATCGCGTTCGCGAAAAAACCCTCTTGAAAATTCAACCACCGTCTGTGAATAATCGACGATCGGATAGATAGTAAATGATAGATTACTTGGAATATTAAGAAGAAAAAGGGTTGCAGATATTTATAGAGTGGGAGTAGCAAGAAAATTTTCCCATCTCCCACGTATCTATTTACGTTCCTACTTGCACTTCAACTTTGCGACCTGGAATATACGAAAACGACGAATACGCGAGTCCCAACTGTTCCTGGTAGACGGGCGAAACGCTAACGAGTTTCGTGGCTGATGGCGAACTACCAGCAACTTTTCCTTTAAACCTCGCGCAAGTAGCTGAAGTTGCTGAAAGTTAATTTCACCGGTATTCGCCAACTTTACTATTCCTCCATCAGACGTATGTTAAGATAGGGTACTTTGTAATTGGTTAAAAATAATGTAAAGCAGCTAAATCTCCTTGTGCTTCGTCCATATCAATCCGTGACGTTATTAGCAGCTGACACGCAACTGCTATGCACGAAGAATAACGAAGAAATTGGTATAGTCGATAAATTGCAGGGGAAACGTTCAATTACCATATAACGACATTGTTTTTCGTGTTGATTCAGTCCATTAATTATGGAATCCACATTAGCGAAATATAGAGGAACGTTGCGATAATTAGGCCGCAGATGGCATCGATAAACAGGATGCAATATTGGTACAACTGCACCTCCGGCTGCAACTGTGATGCACTTTGGTCGTAATTAGGAAACCTCGAGGATAGGATATGCGTAAACCGCATTAGGGCATCGTGTTATTAAATGTGTTTGCCTTTCGCTATAGTAAGGTTTCAAGTATCGATCAAGTACCTTGCAATTACCTTGTTTCACGCTTATCGAACGTTTAAGACCGTGTCTCGAACGATCTCCGAGTATTCATGGTCCAAGGAGGTTAATCCGAAATTCTGTACAGATTAACAGATGCATAATTCGTTGCACGCGCTGAGTGGATAATTCGATTATTCCAGGAAGACTTGGTGGCTCGGTTGACGAGAGAGAAGGCCGAGCAACTGCGAACATTGTCCTCGCAGTTGCTGCTATTCGAATCGAGGCTTTGTCGGAAGCAGAAGGAGATCGAGGCTAGCCTGGCTCAACGAGAATCCATTATTCTCCGACAACAGAGGGTGATTCGGCAACTGCAAAGCAGATTGGCGGAAAGAAGCGCCGGGACGCGGGATTCGCCACCCTGCGACGCTCTCGACAGATTGGACAGTCTGGGTGATAGCGACAGCGCCGTGGTCCTCGAGGAGGCTGCCGATGACCTCGCACCGCCAAGGTACCGATCGGAAACCTCATCTTTTCCCTCCGGGAAATTAACTGTTTACCGAATCCGAAACTGTAACCCTTTTAATATTGACTTTCAGATTTCGTTCGAACATCACCGACGTGACGGTGATTCGTTCGGTGTCGGACGCTGTTGAACCGTCGAGTAAATACTCGTCGATGCGGCGGTGCAATGGATTCCTCAGGAGACCGGAAATCCTCGAGACCGTTTACTCGGTCGAAGAGGACGCCGACAGTGAAAACAATCAGGACCCGTCCGAGTCCACGGAAAACTCTGAATGCGAGGAACGACGGACAAAGAACTTGGGGAATGGAAAGGGCAGGCTTCAGGATCTCTACGGGAGCTTCGAGAGGCTCGCTCAAGAAGCTGATTCCCCGCCGAGCGAGAGACCGAGGGACGAAAGCCAACAAGCACAGGTGAAGAGAATTATTTTTATTCTCAGTAAATATTTTTCTTAATCGATGAAACTTTCATCGAATTGCAAATGTTCGTTTACGATCGTTCTCAGGTAACGTACAACAGGGTAATGAGCAATCACAGATCAGTAACGAAGCCAAAAGACGTGAAATACAAGAGGATAAACAAGGCGAAGTCGAAGAGTCTGGAAGAGTTGAGAGGTCGGTTGAGAAACTGGGTTGAGAAAGGTAATAAAATCGCTATATCGTTGGATCAGTCGTACGCCTGAACCTGTATCTTCTGAAAGTATAGAGAGAATCGTTTAAAGCCACGATTGTTCATCGACGCAACGTCTTTGCGATCACCAGAGGTAATTATGGAACTTATTCCGAGGCGTGATCGCCGCCCTGGTATAATTCATTGAAATTCTCATCGCTCCATGTGATATTTACTGTAGTGTCTCGAGAATTAATTAGAAAAACATTCCGCACTGTGGAATATGTTGCGCGTGAACGATTTTCAACGTTGTTTGTGATATATGTATACAGGATAACGAAGAAAAAGGGTTCAGAACTTACAGGGTACTCGCTAAACCGAGTGAAAAATGTTTAGCGAGCTCGTTCTTCTCGTTCTTCTCCTCTCTTCTTTTCCTTTCTATCCTGTAATCAAAAACATTTGATAAGTATAAAAGAAAAAATCAACAAATTTTCTGCATATGATTTCTATGAAAGAAACCAAAGAATTGTACCAAAAGAAAGATTAGCAATTTGTGCTCAAAGTGTCAACCTAGTTGACTTTCAGAGATTTCCAGTTATTTCCTCTATGAATAATAATTTTTATTGATTTTCTATGTACCCGTCATCAAGATTTTTCACTCCAAATGACGAGTACTATCTGTGAGTACAAAACCCTTTTCTTTCAAGCACCCTGTGTAATGATTTTACAGTAATAAGACCAGGTTATTCTAGTGATAATTACTGTCACGTTCGAAACGATAAGTGATTTTTGCGAGATTTTCTTCTTTTCTTCTCCGTATAAAATCCGCGTAATCGAGTGTACTTTTCTCTTTGCATTCGCTCCTCTCTAAAAATCACGTTTCACGACGTTAGGATATGTACTGCGATAACATTGTGCCCGTCAAATCGATTCCTTTTCCGTCAATTAAGACCACAATTGGTTGTTCGACCCAAAGCTTCAATCAGAAAGACGATACGTAGGTACGTTCACTGTTTTTTAAAAAGGGCAGACCAGATATCTACGCAATCGTACAGACCTGAGCTCAAGTTTTTACCGCTATCCGTCGCGTCGTTTTTTCTCCGCGTATACACTTTGTCTACACTGCGAGAAATATTAAGCGATTAACGTTTCCGATGCATCAAATGCGAGACTTAATTAACGTTTCACGTGGGATACAATTCTTTCCTCTAATTTCTATAAGATTTTCTGTTCAGCTCACCGAATCGCTCGCCCGACTGATCGAACCAATTAACGTTCTTTGTTAATTAAGAAAATCATCACTGATAATGTACCTTTCTAAGTAATCCGTGTTAGGGTCCTCGTCAGAGGATATAGTTAATTCGGCAGTATTGCGAATCGATTGCTTCAATCAGTCGAGCGATCAAATTTTTTTATTATAAGATTGAAAGTTTTCTAAACTCTAATTAATTTCGGATAATCAGTATCTATAAACATGTGATGCATTTACAGACTCGTATACAGCACGATTAAAATTGCTCGTTAAGACACGAAAGTCACACTCTGTAGCATAATATTTTTCGATCGTTCTTTACGCCAAAATCGGTAACGCGAACTAGAACGGCATTTTTTAATTTATTAATCGATAAAGACAACAAGGCGATATAATTATTACGCCTTGCTCTTTATAAAAGTGAGAAAGAACTCAGAGAGAGAAATCCTTGAGGGTACCTGTCTTAAATTTAAAGCTACGTAGAGGAGTTTCTGTTCGAAATAGATTTTCTATTTTCTAAACGTGTCTTCGAAAAAGATATAAAGGTAACAATCGACAATCCCTACTTCCGAAGAGAAATACATATATATATACATATACCGTTAGAAAAAAAGTCTACAGATAATTGATTTTTTTTTTCTTTTTGTAAATAAAAAACGATAAGATACGTATGTAATATTTTATTGCTAAGATTCCTCGGAATTCTACAAGGTTATCATGTAGATACTCGCGTCCCGCGAAAATTTAATCAATTTTAACGATATAGAAACGAGTTTTATGTTCCTGTAGGCTGTATAACAGACAGCCATCGACAGATCTCGTGCATAATATACTGCGCGCTTATAAATATATTATATATATATATATCTAATACGTATATAAATAAAACGCATATAAATATATAAATACATATAAAATGTATATGAAATACGATATAAAATGTATTTGAGTCTACTACCGGATGACGGATAGGGAATGAGAACGCGTTCAAGTATACACGTGGACAAATGCTGCAAACGGTACACGAGAAAGAGATTGCTATTTTAATTCCCGTAAACGATGTAACGTGTATACCGTCGCTTTTTTAGAAAATTAGTAGACTGCTACCAATATTAATAATTAACGCATTATTATTTCAATTAATTATTATTAAACCTCAAATAAATCGAAGTATTACATGAGTTATTATTCTCCCTTTTCACTGACAACAAACCTACATACATATGTAATCTCTCCTGAGGGTGCCTAGGAGCTCTAAAACCATGGCCCGTAGAAAACAAAGGCATGACCAGTGTTTTTATAACTTTAGCCACTGCTTCGATATTCCTTTTATGGAATTATAATAAGAAAAATCATAACTATTCATGACGCCTTTAAAGGGATTTATATTGATAAATTAAATATAAAACTTCGTTTACAATTAATTTTGAATGTAACAGTATTAATATCATCTGGGGTGTTAGGGACCCCGATGCACCGGTGACTGCATACCGACTTGATATCATCTGGGGTGTTAGGGACCCCGATGCACCGGTGCCTCTGCATACCGACTTAATATCATCTGGGGTGTTAGGGACCCCGATGCACCGGTGCCTCTGCATACCGACTTAATATCATCTGGGGTGTTAGGGACCCCGATGCACCGGTGCCTCTGCATACCGACATTATGGCTCCGGGGTGTCAGGGACCCCTTGAGAATAGAGGCATGTCCAGTCTTGATGACCATCCGGCAACGGTGGTGCTAGCGCCATCTATCCGGAACTCGCGGAAACTATTTGCCGACTAGTTTCCACAGATTTCCGATAGATGGGGATAGTGTTCTTTTTTCCGGAAAATTGATCGGTAAGTTGTCGAGTAGTTTGAGCCGTTTGTGTATAGATGGCGTTGAGATATTCACCCCCGCAGGTCAGAGTTCACTTGGGGTGTCTGGGAACCCCTAAAATCATGACACCTCGAAAATAAAGGCATGCGTTTTGTATCTATAGTCTGATATAGGTTAAAAGAAAAATAATTTTAACATGTCGTTTTTAATAAATCAAGTACGAAGTTATTTAAACGATGCAAGGTCATTTTACAAAGCGTTAAATGGTGTATTTATCATTTATAAACCTCCTGATCGGTACTTCAAACAAATAAGAGATACAATCGTTGAAAAGTTATGCAGAGGTTATGACAGTTCTTTATTTGTTACAAAATACTTTATTGATAAATGTAATTATATGATCTATTGCTTTTAGATCTTAATTGTATGCCCGGACGACCAATGATGAAACATGTAGCAATAGAAGGTGAAACAAATAAGGATATGCGAGTTATTGTTCGAAATAGTTATGCAGATCATCCACTAGTTGTAGGACCTCGTTATCATATAAATGACTTTAGAATAGCAGCTACAAAAATTATGAAACCAGACGTGTCTGGTGTTATAGTATGCGGAATTAATAGTGGTAACGGACTGATAAATAGAATGAAACAAACCAAATACCCAAGATTTTATAAGGTAAAGGGAGTGCTTGGTCAAGCAACAGACAGTTTGTTTCATACTGGAAGGATAGTTGAAAAATCCACCTATAAACACGTAAAACGTGGTCATCTGGACAAAATTTGCCGTTCAATGCAATCTTCTCATCAAAGAAAAATGTTTGAGTATGTATTGAAGTATAAAAATGTATTGAGTAACATATAAATATGACTTATATTGTACCATATATTTAAAGATTATGTGGAGTAGACATGGAAAGTCAAGCTGCATATGAGTTAGCAATCAAAGGTCCACTCAGACCTACAGATCCTAATGTTCCTATGGTATATACAATTAAATGTGTATACTTCTTACCTCCAGATTTTACATTAGGTAAACATATTTAATTATGCAAAAATTTAAATTAATGAAAAATTATATAGAAAAATTTGTTTTTCATAGAAATTGTGTGTATAAACGAAGATGATATATATTTAAAAACCATAATTCATGAAGTGGGAATGAGACTTCACGCTACTGCTACTTGTACCCAAATAAGTTGTGTTCAAGATGGCATATTTAGTTTAAAAAATGCATTATTACCAAAACATTGGACTTTGAAAGATATTGTGGTAAATATTCAAATATGTCACAGGCTCATTCAGGAAAATGAACAATTGTTAAGCCCGGAAAGTGCGACACTAATAGAATTCCCTAGATACAACAGAAATACCTACTGAAGAACGATCTACAGCATAATAGATATATTTATTTTTTATATTATAATGCTATTTATTTAGACATAGTTACTAACTTGATGTATTATATCTGTTACTGTATAATATTCAATACAAAAGCCTAGGTGAGATTTTTTATTTTTATAATTAGTTATGCTTCACTTCGACTCCTTTTAGAACGCGGACCAAAATCGGAATCGTCGTGTTTATCGGTAGGTTTCATTGACCTTCCTCTTATTTTATGTTTATTTGGCCATTGTTGCATTTTCATACTTTTCGCTATCACACGTTTCTGATGATCTAATTGCGGGAACAAATCTACAAGAGAAAATAATAAAATGTTAATTACATTATAAAATTTTGCTTAACAAGAATCCTGTACCTTGAGATTTTTCTAGGGCTTCTTTGGCTGAATTCATTTCAGCTTCTTGAATACTGTGTCCTGATGCTTTTGCTAATCGTTTTCCTTGGAAGTATACAGCAACAGTATACACTCTTGTATTTGTTGGTCCTTTACATTCAATTACTCTGAACAAAAATTGATTAGATAGTTATTTATAACAATATACACAAATTCGTCATTTAATCTTATTTTAACTTACTTGTATACAGGAATATCAGGTTCCCCACCATCCATTGTTCTTAATGTCAAACAACACTGTTGTAATTTACTTTTTGGATCATTCCAATCTTGATTCATAATAAAATCTTGCAAGCGTGGGAAGAAACATACGTCACAGAAAACGTGACAATATTCTAAACCTTTATCGACATAAAGAGCTCCTAAAAATGCTTCCAACAAGTCTGCTCTGTCCTTTGTTTTCAACTCAGCCTTTGGATTACCATATAGTGCATACTGAGTCATTCCCAAATCATCACACACGACAGCTTGTGTTTTATTATTTACAAGAGAACTTCGTAAAAGCTGTAAAATAAAAAATATGTATTTAATGAATGTTTAATCAGTCAGAAGTTACAATAATACTTACAGATAAATGTCCCTCATGATGTTCTGGAAAATATTTATATAAATATTCAGAAACTATCAGTTGTAACACAGTATCCCCTAAAAATTCTAAACGTTGATTCGAACCTAACGTTAAATTGGTATATCCTATACTGCGATCGGTAAAGGCTCTGGCTAACAAACGAATATGGGTAAACTCTATGCCAATGGATTCTTCAAATTTTGTTAATTTCTATATAAAACGACATTAAATTATTCAATATATCATGAAACAATTATTGTGCATATAGAATACTTACCTGCAACAGTTCAAAACTTGGTATCCATTGTCTATCACCTGTTGGTTCCTGTTCTTGCAAAGGATGTTTTGGATAATTCACCCACACTTTTGAAAGATCCTCTTCGTCTTTGAAAAGTGTTTCTCCAAATACCCTGTCAGCAACTTCGATACCTCCATCAAGGAACAACGAACCCATTAACGCTTCGAAACAATTCGCCATTGCGTGTCTTAATTCCAAATCGTGGCAAAGATCACTGCCATGCGCGTATAGCATATATTCTTCTAAATTTAATTTTTTCGCTAACACAGCGAGATGCTGATTTTGAACAATGGCTGCTCTGTATGTGGCTAAACCACCTTCTTCTAAATCAGGGAACATATGAAATAAATGAATCGATGTAAGAAATTCGACCACTGCATCTCCTAAGAATTCCAATCTTTCGTTGTGCGCTATTGAAGATTCCGTTTCAGTTCTTGCTCCGAATCTTGACATTATGTTGATCAGTGTATTAATACCACGCTTTCGAGTATTCATGTAATGAATTCGTCGATCGCCATATTCAGGCTGTCTTATGCCACAATTAGTTAAAGAATTTCGTGCATGATCTGGATTTGTACCGAAATTTTCACGGTAACTGGGATGCGTTAATGCTAATTGAAGAAGGTATCTGTTCTTAAATTCGTAGCCTAATGTGCATTCTAAGTTGTCTAAGGATTTATGAAATCTTAAATGGCAAACAAGTACTGGAATCAGCATAGCATGTTGCACTATATCGCACATAATTCCGGTTCTGCAAAATCCTTCAGAACTAACATCTACAGTAACATCGCGTTTCATTTTGCTTTGGGTTCTTAATTCTTGAAGTTTATTTTCCTTTGCCTCCAACTTTCTTTTATCTTCAAACGATGGTTTCGGCATATTAGCCAACAAGTGGCGAAATTTTACATAATCCCTCCATGCTTTCTGGTAACTGAAATAAGCAATTAGACATATAAATATCATTTTTGTTATCAAATAAATAATATTTTAACAGAAGAAAGAATATTTACTCAGCGTTTCCTGCATAACTAAGTTGTGGTGGCCTAATTCCAAAATGTACTATTTCAGGGTACGCAACTATACCAGGCGGCTGATCAGCCTGATTTCTGTCTAACTGATCAACGCGAACGCTGCATGGTTTTTTACCCGGATACGTGACAATCATGCCTTTTACCTCGTCGGCAAAATTTTGCCATTTATATTGCGGCATTTCTACCAGCCTGGGTAAATCATCTGGATCTATTAACAATTTACTACTTTTTATTAAATAATTTAGAACTTCATTCATTGACAAGATTTCCTGCCCATTATCGGCTAAATCACGCACAAATCTTGGCATAAAATGAAACTGTCCACAACCAGATTTATCCTGTGCTGCTTGTAAATCAAAATCCACCAGTTCCAATACTTCCTTGAATAAGTATGTTTCTGATAAAACGATTAATTATTAGCGAGTACAAAATATTAAAAATAACGTGTTAGATATAATAAAACGAAACTTACGAAAATAATCCAATTCTCGTATAGTAAAATTCTCTGGCAGTTTTTCGTCTATATAAAGAATTGTGTACTCTATGTTAAATCTTATCACTTTACACGTCGGCAGCTTTACAAGAGGAAAATGAGAAAGCATAGAAAAACCTTCAAATATAAATTCGTGTTCATCGTGTTTAATAATTGTCGGTGTTTTAGTAAGAAAATTTGTTGGCGGACTAATTGTTATTCGATAATGATATAATTTATCAGCGTTATTTGAATTTAAATCACACTTATTTATTGCACCTTCTCCAGCATAAATTCCATGCCTGATCCCGGATCTTCTTGACTTTGCACTACATCTACACAATGGTCCATCATTCATCTACAAAATCCATAAGTTGTTAAATATATTTTATATAATTCAACATTGTGCAACATTTAGGAAACAAGTACCCACTTCACCAGGATCGTTAAACCACATTTCAGGATGCAATCTTTGTGGATGTTGTTTCTTTGCCATTAACTCTTCCATTGTTCTATCATCCTCATCCATTGAACTATCACTATCAGAAGAAGAGCTGCTACAAGCTTCGGACTTGTGCCTACATAAACGAGCTCTGGTTTTTCTTGGAGGTGGTTCATAGGGAGGCTATACAGTGCGAAATTAGAAACGTTTATAAATGTATAAAAATTTTCTATTACACTAGTATAAATATACCTGCAAAGCTCTTGCACTTCCAGCTCTGTCTAATAATACGTTCTTGAATGATTCACATAATTCATGCAGTTTGGTTGTGCCTCTCATTAATTTTGAATTATTTTCATCTCTAATATAGTACAAATCTGCTGGTGCAGTACGTGTCCAAACTTTTCTTGCATTTTCCATAATACCCTCAGGTCCCATTGCAGATAATTCATCCATTTTCCTTTCCATATCTTTGCTTGTTGCACAATAATCCTGCCTACATAAAACTACATGATACAAAAAGATCGTATTTGTTTAAGTAGCTTGTTTCAAACAAACACATTACCTGTACTTTTCTAAAAGTAACTCTCTTTCAGTTGGATCTTTTTTGGTAGCAAAATTATTTGGACTATTGGTTCTAGATGAATAGGATTCTTGAGATCTTGATCTTTTCCTACTTCTGTAGCTTGTATATGATCTTTGAGAACGCGAGATATATGAATTATTTCTTTTACTAGATGATCTCCTCTCAGAATCTTCTTCATTATATAAATGATCTCTAGAACATGATCTGTTTTTAGGATATTTTGAGTATTTATCCCTTTGAGAATCATACCGTGATCTGTATGGTGATCTGCTTGATCTTGATTTATTATCAGGACTTTTGGAACGTTTTCTAACTGAATGACTAGTAGAGGATTCTTTATCTTTATATCTTCCTTCTAATCTTTTATTCCTTGGGGATTCATCATACTTTTTATATGCAGGTTTCATATCATCTTCTTCTACTTTATTTACATCGTACCAAGAAGATGCATTGCTCTGTGATTTATCCCAATCAGATGAATAATTATTGGAATTCCATTCTGTAGTAGCATTATTCTGATAAGCATTTCTATCATTCCAATTTGAATTAAAATTTCCTGTTACTGGTTGACAGTAGTTAGAAATTCCATAGTTCTGGTTATTACATTGCATTTCCGTTTGATTTTGATAAGAAACATCATGATAAGAATTTGGAATTTCATTCTGATAACAAGGTGCCATAGAATGATACGATTGAACAAAATTACCAGTTTTGTTTTCTGGTAAATTAGAAACTGGCATGTTGTAAGATGGTGGTGGTTGTCTAAAATTTGGCGGTGGAAAATTTGGGGGTGGCACAGAATAATATCCCATGTTTTGTGGCTGAGAAACTCCTGAACCCCAAAAGTAAGATTGGCCTACATTTGAAGGATTTGCCATTTTTACAAAATATCTCACCTGAAATATGAACTGCATCAAATAACGGAAAAGTACATTTGCTTAAAGTATTTATCGTCATTAATGATTATAAAAGAGAATCTTTTTAGTAAGCAAAATTATAATACAGACATGTAGGTGTTCTTACAATTTCGTTTTCCCCTTAATGTAACCGAATTCGAATATTAAATTTGGCTATAGAAATGAATAGAAGGGTATAATAGTCATCTATAACATAATTCCTGTACTTTCTTAACATTTATTTAGAACAAAAAATCAAGTTCTGATCCATTCTGATGGAACACTACTTTACATCCTTAAACTAATGCATCTAAGTGTGCGCAATGATTTTTCATCTATTAAAGCGCCACCTTATGGTTACGAAAGAAATGTAATTCAAATTCTACAAAAGTAGCCGAATAATTACAAATAATTGTAATTGATTGCCATATAATCATTTATAATGTAACAATTTATAAAACATTATACATTATTATCGCTTGAGTAACATATCCCTATTTAAACAAATCAAATCATCGTAATTGCTTTTACTAGATGCATGGATCATTCTTAAAATAACGCAAGATTTTATTACATTGTTTAGTGCTTGAAAACATCATTTTCATTTAAAGAAAAAGGTATTGTGTTTTATTATCAATATTAAAATACAATTGAATTATAATCTTCACGTAAAGACTTGCGATTCTGAAACATTGTAATTCTATAAAAGTACAATTTAAATAATATACATGTTCATATCAGCAGTAATTTGTATCATGTTTCCATTGCAACAAGTTAATATTATCTTGATACGAGGCTAATATTATTTATAATTTTAGGTAGCCATATTCATCCTGAACGTTCAACTACAAACATGGGCGTTTCTTTTGTCAGTGACTGTAGTCGCTGCTTTTGTCGTCTGCAAAGTGTCAAATACTTTGCGCACAACGAAAATGCTTAAAGACAGTGATACATTTTAGTTGTTTGAAAATTTTAAAAGATTTTTCATGTTTCTTACTGTTGTCAAATGATTTCAAGTGAACACACGATATATATACATACATGTACCTATTTAAAAAAATTGCAATTTTACTCGGTGATGGGTATGATTCAGTACCGAAGGGCATCTTTCCGAGGTATTACGACTTCGTTGAAACGATTGATCTAAAAAATGAACATGATGAAGTACACACCCTCTACAAAAGTATAAACTAGAATCTCATCTGTAGAACTTCTTTGAATTCTGCTTAAATCGACGCTAAAATGTTCATGTCAAACGGGAAGGTTATGCTTCGTCATGAAATGAAAATCACTATCCTGGTGTTTTAAACGATATAATTATTTAACTGCACAAAGGAAAGAGATACAGTTAAGAATTGCGTATGAGAATATGTTATAATTTAAAATGTATGTTGTATGAGAAAAAGTGGATTGACTTATTTGATATTAGAATCAGCTGATTCCTACTACGTTGACAAGGGATCGCTGTATACGAACGATATTAAACTAGTACAACAGATTAATGATTCGATATCAAAGGCAGTGATATGTGAAAAATATATATTTATAATCATATTTTTGAACATATATTGTTTATTGTTCTGAAAATACAAAAAGTAAAGAAAATGTCAGGAAACAATTCAACTGCAGTAAACACACCTAGAGGTGGGAATCTACAAAATCGTAATTCTCAAAGATCTACACTTCTAAAAGTGGTGATTCTTGGTGATGGTGGAGTTGGAAAGTCTTGTCTTATGAACAGATTTGTATCAAATCACTTTGATGAACATAGTTTTCATACCATTGGTGTAGAGTTCTTAAATAAGGATATTGAAATTAATGGAGAAGCGTATACCCTTCAAATATGGGATACAGCTGGACAAGAAAGATTTAAAACCCTTAGAACTCCATTCTATAGGGGATCTGATATTTGTCTCTTGACCTATGCAGTTGATGATAGAACAAGTTTTAAAAATTTAGCACTTTGGAGGTCAGAATTTCTTTATTATGCAGATGTTCAGGAAGGATCAACATTTCCATTCATAGTTGTTGGAAACAAAGTAATTAGATAGTAATAATTAATGCTATATAATATTGTTTACCATTAATAAACTACACAGAGACAATTTTTGTAGGTGGATGTTCCAGAGTCTGAGAAACAAGTTTCTACTGAAGAAGCTGAAGCTTGGTGTGCAGAAAATGGAGATCCTCCATTAGTAGAAACATCTGCAAAAGATGCAACTAATGTTGAAGCAGCATTTGGGGCAGCTGTTGCTGCTTGGGCACAGCTTGAAGCTAGACTTGAGCGGCCATTAGTAGAAGATACTGTTGATCTTTCTAAACAACAGTCTCCTCATCGTTCAAGTTGTTGTATGCCTGTGTCTGGTGCTGAGTAGGTGATAGATATAAGATTTTAAATATTTTTTATGTTTTCATAACATAATGCATGAATCATATTTCTCAAAACCCACAATTATGAAATCTGAAGGAAATGAGCGGTAAAAAGAGAAGCATAACAAATAATTTTTGTGATGGAAGCTGGTATTCTTGGAACGAGCAGATAGAATATGTTTATACAGGATTGCCTCGTAATAAGCAACACGCTCGGGTCTGGCCAGTTGCTTATTACGGATCAGGTATGCTATTCGGCTCGACTTTGTTCTCGAAACGGGCCGATAGAGAACACGAGAAACGAGCGAGAAATCCGAGGTAGCGGCAAATCATAAAGTGATCGGCCGAGCAAGGATGTTATTTTTTGAACAAGGATAGAATATAGCATGCCCTCTCATTCTCGCACTATTTCGCTTATTTCAAGGCAAATATGCTAGACTGAGAAAGCATTATATATATTCCATACTTCTACTAACCGATGTCACTGCTCAGTCGAGCGTGACAATTTATTACCCAAAACATCGGCTTCTCGCTTTCACGGACCTCTCACTTTGCGGGCGACATTAAACGAAAAGGTGGGAATAGAAATTTGCTTATTTCAAGCCGGAAAACTGTTGCTTATTACGGATCAATACTGTACCTGAAAAGAGTACATTGCGTTGCAAACTGTATGAATTCTTAAAAGTGATGATCACTGTATTTAGGACATATAAGGACATTATATTATAGAAATATAAGAACTTTATTCCTTTTTCTTTGACCTACACAACGCTTATCTCTTACTAATATTTCATCTAATCCCTGAAAATTGATTCATCACCATTGGCAACAGTTTTAAAGTATCTAAAGTGATAATAGGTTGAACGAAAATGGAGATATTTGTTTGCTACTAATAATATTAATGACAATTTTGCATGTATCATGCTTTTTCTTCTAGGTCTAACAAAATTATTTGAAGAGATCTCTTGCCTGTCTGCAATCTTTCATCATAATAAGGTGAATTTTAATATTACAAGTAGTTTCTCTTTATTATATTCAGTTTTTAATTACAATAAATATGCTTTATGTTGCCAATGAACATATTTATGACATTTGCATAAATCAGACTTATTTAATTTTATTAATTTTAATGACATTGTTTAGTTCCATTAACTGTAAATTTGAACGAACAAATTACGCAAAAGAAATAACATATTGTGGTTGATATTTCCAGAATGCGACTGTAAAGTGTAAGGTCAAATTGAACGTCCTACTCGTGTCACGCTTTGTGCAGCTCTTGAGCTACAAACAGTATTTTAAGTGTTTCGTACACCATTGGCTTGTGATAAAATAATAATAATAATGATAGTTATAATCAGTATCATCAACTGCTTTATAAATAAGAAATAGATATATAAAATGTAATTTAGCTTTGTAATCTAAATTTGCCTTATCATTGCAGCACAAACTAAGGGCAGTGGTAGTAAGATATATTTGTCGGAAAATCTTTTAAATCGTGTTTACACATTCGTATATGATTTTGAAACATATATACAACAAAACGTACTCTGCTGCTCTTGGAATGCTCTGCAGTCGATGTTTAAAGATTTTCCTACAAAATTAATAGTATTATAAACACATTAAATAAAGCTTTTTGTACAACCTTACGTGTATGAAATGCATTTCTAAAGCACTGTAACTTACCTAAGAGCTACTTAATACTTTAATAATGCTTTACATACAGAAGATAAGTAGTAGATAACATTATTGTAATTTGAAGATTATTTCAAATGGAAAAAAAAGGTTCGCATTTATTATAAATGTGACTTGCATGCTGGTGCTTTTTGTATAGCTACATGTGGGATATATAAATTTCTGGCATCTTACCCAATAATGTGTTGGTTCAGGTGCAAACTGCATTATAGAATTTAACCATATCAAGATGGAAATATCTGACCAACTGTTCTATTATATAAAAAATTAATTCTGTTAACAGAATTATGTTACACATTATTAATCCTACATGAGTTTTCTTAATGATTTTATAAAAATCGTTTATGTACAATATGTGTTGCATTTATTATACGACACTTTATTTATTATTATCTTATATTTGTCAAAATGGCAGCCTAGATTTTTATAGTACATTTTAAGTAATAATTTGTGTCTATATTTACTGAATTTTATAAGCTTAAAAATCGATTTTGCAGGAAAAATAAAAATACTCTGTGCTTGTTTAAAACTGATAAAATGTATTGATCAAGTATCACTGATTCCTTATTTCGAATTTTAATTACACAAGTGAATTTATATTTATATTATTTTACATTTTATAAATAAAAATAGTTTCTAAAATAATTTTTAATAATACAGTCGTCGATAACGTTATATTGTAACAATACGTCGTAATGTATGCGACATTTAAGATACTTTTACACACTTTTGTCTCAAACATTAAAATCGATTAAAGAGTAAATATTTATAAAATATATTATAATATAAAATTAAGAGTGTAAAAGTTTGGAGAAAAGTGTGCGCGTATCTTATGGTATTTTTTTCATTTTTGAAGTTCTTAATAATATTTACAAATGAAGTGTGCTATAGTTCAAATCAAAGGTTCAATCTTCCAATATTTTTGTATACAAATTTGCATTTTATAGATATTTTTTACGTAATAATGATTAAATCATGCTATCTTTTTTAACAAGCAACTAAATTGTTGCATTCTGTATGCATAAAATAACTATGCATAGGAATAAACTTAAACTAAAAACTTTTCCTTTATATATTTCTGTAAATACAAATTTAGGATAATTATACTTCCTGCAGATGTTCACTATATGTAATTAATTATTTTCAAGTTCCTCTGAGCAATATGAACTTCGTGGCAATGTACACTTATGTACATTTTTGTCGTGAAAATACAGTATATTGTAAACACATAATTAACTAATGACAATGTTCTGTAACATCTACGATAACAGATTTTTTCCATCCAAATAAGAAGTAACCAATTGCTGCACCAAATACTACAGCAAAACACAACCACACATTGTAAGTCATAAAGATCAGCATAAGGAAATATGACAGCACAATTTGCACAATGTGTAACAATGTTTGAAATGTATGCATCCATGATAACATTGTGGGCCTGCACAAATTTATATAGAATATATTAATTTCCAACCAATTTTAGGGTCAGCGATAAAAAATGCAACTGATTTAAAGAAAAATTAAGATCATTAAAAAGGCATTTAAGCATTAAAATCAGAAAACACAGGTAAAACAAATAGATTGATTTCTCATTTACTTACGGTTGTTTGTGAATTACTTCTCCAACCATACTAAAAATAAAAAAAAATAAAATAAAATAAAAATAAAGTAAAATAAAATTCAAATTAACAATCAATAGCAATTTCTCATGTACTCGAATGTAAGGTGAAGAAACAAGAACTCAAACTTACTGTACGACTCGATTATCTTCAGCCACGACGTTCTTTTCTGGAGGCATCGTGACACTTCGATACTGAAGCGCATTGTAAGTCTTCCAGAACAAATATTCACGATAATACTTTAAACCTTCGTAAAGTGCAGCCATGATCATTATACCGATCATCGAGCCAACGAGCCCTCCGATCGACGAGATTCTCCAGGATTCGAACAATACATGTTCACAGTACCCTCCGTGAAAAGTCATCTGCAAATACCATCGTTGTTTTACAACCAAGACAATAATTTTATCACTTATGTACGATACGTACCGACATACCATGCATCCCCATATCGGCACATGCTTCAACAGCATGGCCAGTATGATCCATACTCTCATGGTTCATATGATTATGCTGCATAGAAGCATGCATATTTTCGTGCATATTCGAATGATCCATATCTCCGTGGAATGCATGAGTATCACCGCTCATCTGCCCACCCGACGAATTCATTAGGTGTGCCATATGGTCGTGAGACATCTGCAAAGAAGAGGCGCCGATTAATTTTTTCAAGTACATACGTAAAGTTGATTAATCAGAGAATTCGATGCGTTAAGTTATACGATAAATAGATTAGGAGGTTTTGCGAAAATCGAGCGATACAACTGTAAAGGATTGAAATTGTTTCTATAATACATCATCCGCATAATTGTGACTTATTTTTCATATTATTGAAAAGATACTGTTATCGAGACCAAAGACCAGATGCCTGTCGGATTTTACCGGTTGTGATTTATATACGACCACTGCAAATAGGTACTTATCGAATATTTATTGGCACATAACACGATGATCAACAGAAAAGGGGTGAAGATGTCGTGCCCTCGGTGTGATAAATCGCGTATCGAAATTTTACCAGTAAATACATTTTTTTCGTTAATATAAACTGATTTAAAAACGGACTGCATAAAAGAGGGAACACCTGTTGCTTGTACATTGATTCCGTTCGCTTTGTAACGGAGAACATTGATAGCAAGAGTACGTATACCGCGTAATCGATATCACATGGAATATGAAATTTTTGCAACGATAAATGTACATCGGTGAATTGAAACATCGATAAATACATTTTCTTTGCGTGGTATTATCTATTTTTTATACCCTGAAACAACATCGTTACGTAATCGTTCGATAACCAGAAATTATATGAAGGTTCAAAGAATTGTTACCAAGTTGATTTCTCAATGAACCGTGAGACATTTTGAACTTTCAACAAATGATTTTTTCCTCGATTAGTTAACGTGCTGCTCTCAATACGGCAGTTTGCCGGATCAGTCACGAACGTGTTTGGAACCGAAGAAACGAGTTCACGACTGGTATCTCGTGATACACGAACAAAGAGAACGAATAAAAAAGAAAAACGTTAGTCGGCGTACTTTCTAAAGCAGATTTCCTCAAGATCAGATACGGTGGCCCGGACTAGAGGTACCACCATCGACATTCCGTTCTAGTAGCCATTAGGTACGGTAAAAGTACCGATGAACTAGTCACTGAATATATAACAAGAAATTTCTGAAAGTCTGGAAAAAATCTTGTTTCCACAGGAACAGTGGCTAGCCCTGATCTGTTTTAATATTCGAAACTATTAAATAATGCAGAAAATTGTTGATATAGAAATTGCACGGTAAAATGGCAACTATGTTTTGGCCGAAGTGAAAAATCTTTTGCATAGATAAGAGATATGATAGTCAAGTTTTGTTTTTTAAATGGAACCATATATTTTTTTCAGATCATGTGATAGTGCTTCTCAAGACGAATTCATTAAGCTTTGATTTTAATTAATTTTCAAGATATAACGCTTACAAATTTCCCGATTTTCAGTAGATTCGTCTCGGTTTGAGTGGCAAGTCGTAAAAGTGGCCCTATTGTTGCGGTTTCTTATTCTTTGGGTTCCTAGGGTAGACCACCGCTGTGGCATTTGCCGCAACAATAGGGCCGCTTTTACGACTTGCTACTCGAATCGAGACGCATCTACTGAAAATCGAGAAATTTGTAAGCGTTATATCTTGAGAACTAATTAAAATCAAAGCTTAATGAATTCGTCTTGAGAAGTACTATCACATGATCTGAAAAAAGATATATGGTAAAACTTGACTTTTGCCAACTTTATTACTTCGGCCAAAACATAGTTCCCATTTTACCGTGCAATTTCAACAATTTTTTGTATCATTAATAGTTAAAGAATAACGGCTCTGTCACACTTCTTGGGCTGGGACACCCTGTGCATACATAACGGGAAAATGATATTCCTTGTTGGAAGAGAAATGCGATACGTTTTGCAACAGAAAACGATAATCCACGAAAACTCGTCACGATTCGTTTGTACATGTTATTAATCGTTCATCCATAATGAACAAATATTTGATTTGTATAAATATCCTACGTGGCGTTCGTTTTACCATTCTGTTCTCTGCCGAGGCACGAAAGAGAAAATACATGAAACAATAAACTGCGGAAACGATATTTTTACCTTTCTTATTTCAACATATTTACGCAGAAGGCAATCATTACGTTTTAACGTGATAACAATTTCATCGAAGGAGGGCTATGTTATTTGCATAATTGCACGGAAAGAAATATAACAAGGAAGTGAAGCGAGGATTTTAGATTAAAGATAAGTTCGAAAATAACAAGTTTATTTTTACTTTTCGAAAAGTGAAAGCATACACCGCTAACATTATTTTCAATGTTAGATATGGATTCTGATTATTTGTAGGGACTGATCAATCTTACTGTTCGATTAACCGATTCAGTTTATCGATGTACCCTTGAAGAATAGTCCCCCCAGTACGTACATCGTAATATTTACAAACAATCTCATTGAATTTCTGGTATCACAGAAGCTTATTCCATGTCTGTCAGGCACGGTAATTGGAATACCATTCTTCGTGTATTTAAAATTAACGCTCGGTATGTATCAGGTAATTACACCTTATATTTCGTTATCCTTGAACAAGCTGAACAAACGCCATTGTTCGACGGCAGCAGGAAAAAACATGGAAATTCAACAAAAAAAAGGCAACGCTGTTAGGGAAATTTTATTCGGTATAAGCTGGTAAAAAAAGAATTGAAAACAAGGGGAACACTCTGATAACGCGACACATTATTGTCTGCGGTTAGCAATTTCGTCGAAGAAATCACGCGTGATTAAAATAAGCGGTAGAGATAAGCGTTAGTGTAAAAAATAGGAAATCCGTTTGCAATGCAAATTAAAGTGAACGAAAATATTTTTCAGCAATTTGGTTTGAATTATCTTTTGTTAGAGGAATGATGAAATAATTTCGGCGTAGGAAGGTAATCCATCTGGTATACGTGAAAAGTGAGGCGTGAAATCCTACACGAATGCATTGTCGACAATATGATGGTGCTCAAGAATTCTTATATTGAAATACCAAGCTTCCAGGAGAGAACCACGCGATATCATTCTCCCAGAAGATGTTTCGATTATTGATTAATTTTTATGAAGGTATACGGATCATTGAAATCGTGAGACAAAATAGATTTCCAATGATTTCCGCGCATCTTTATTCCACGTACCCCATTTAGTTCCATTACGACGCCGGAACATGTTGTTATTTCAAACATCCTGTAGATTGAAAATTGAAAGGGAACCGGGAGCGTACGATATTGGTTTCAATTGAATCGATGACAGTTAACTGTGATTAATTAACCCGATAGGTTGAATCCGAGGTTTCTGGACAAAAATGTCAATCTATACCCAGTTCGTATGGCAAACACTGAATCATAAAGTCATGTTCGATATGGGGAAGAGAAACTTCATAAACTTTTAGACGAGAAGGGAGTTGAGTCACATAGCGACTGGAGAATTTAATGATACATTCACTTTTTATCAGTCAGAACTATCACCGATTCGTGTACCCGTAACATGTATCGTTTACATACATTCCTGAAGAAAAGAAATCGAGGTACTTTTATTTTTCTGAAAGTGCGATACTTTCTATATTTCCTTGAAAGAATAAGTGAAAATATTAACGCGTTACCGATCGTCTTTAAAACAGATGCAGATGTTACATCAATGCTACAATGCTGTCCTGTTTCTTTCTTATTACATTCTACTAATTAAACTAACTGTCAATATAAGTATGTAATGAAACTCGAAGATAGTAATATATACGGATAGAAAGGATTAATTGAATTTGAAAAACAATCATGTCACTTTCTAATAATTACATCAGAGTGCCCTAATTTTATGTACGAAAGGTTAGCAAATCTAGTACTCACCTTTTTTAAAAAATCGAGGTTATGTCACGGGAAATACTTCTCTTCTATGAGAATACTTGCGTGTAATAATGATGAATGAAAAAAATACACATTCGCAGGTTTCTCTACGTGAACGGTGAAACAGTCTATCACAGATCCATTAATAAACTGCACACAACTTTCACGGCTTCGTCCATCGCCGTAGATGTAAAATAACGAAGAGTTGGGCTTAATGGTTTCGGCGCGTAAACACGTGACACTAGAGCAGCAACGGGACCATTTCCGTACCATTACAATAGATGGCGCAAAAAGTATGCGCCATGCATGCGCTCTTTTTAGAATGTAGCTGGGAGTAATAAAAAACCGCAATACATAATTCACTGTTCAGTGATTCAACTTGTGCGAATATTATGAAGGATTTTAAAATAGTTTTTGCCTTCGAAATATTGTAATATTCATTGTTATAACGTTAAAGTATGAAACATGATTTGAATTCAGAACGAAATGCGCAGAATTCAAATCCACATGGGCTTCGCGCATGCGCACGGCGTTTGTATATTTTGCGTAATTTGACAGTTAAAGTATCGACAGTGCCAGTGTTTGGTGTACATAATTTCGTGTTGCATTATGTCTATTATGCCATTGTGGCCTAATTTACAACCCAGAACCACAGATCCTTTGTGGTTTAATGCTGACAGGCCATGCGACGACGAAAGCGAAGTGGCTGCTCTTGAAGCAGAACATCAAGCATGGGTACGCATGTTATAAACTGACGAATTATTGTAAATGGGTACTGTATAAATGAATTTTTACTAATTGCTTCTTTCTTGTGACTTATTTTAGAGAGAGCACGTTCGAGTACAAGGTTATGACCACATTCCGATTGGAAAAACAGTCAGTGATGTAAGTTAACCTTACTTTTATTGGAATATCTTTAAGGAAACTGTTAAGGGAAAGCCTCCGAGGAGGACCGCGAACATTTTCCTTAGGGAAACCTACTTTGCTTGATACTGTTACAGTTGTAATTTAATATTATACCACAATGCTATTAGTGGTTAATCGCGCTCTGAAAACAATACCATTAGCGCCATTTAGCGACGTACTGTTGAACTATGATAGAAAATAATTTGATATTTCACAATTTGTTTATTGATGAAGATAATTTGGTACCACGTATTTTTTTGAAATTTTTACGGATCTTAACAAGTGGAAAAAGTTAAACGGTACAAGAAACGGGAAAATTGAAATTTAATTCTGCTAGTACCGGTGATCTGCCGCTAGATTTGATCGTTCGTCACCAGATAGCGACAGCAGTACTGTTTTCAAAATTCAAATTGATGGAGATTTAAATAATATACAAAAATAAGGGTTGCAACACGATGGGTTTACGATACGCTTAATTTGTAGTTTATTTTTACTTTTCCTGAGAAAATAGACATTGTATATCATACAAATGGAATCATGTGTAGTTCAGAGGATCCGAGGAAGAAGAGGAGGAGGAGGAGGAAGAAGAAGGCGAAGGAGAAGAAGAAGAGGAATCAGATACCCATGAAGAAGAGGAAGAAGAATTAGACGAAATTGATATGGAAGTGAGCTATTCGCATCAACAACAAAGATCCAGTCCAACAGATACAGTAACAGATCCAGTGTCCATTAGAATGGTTAGCACACATACCGGTCGTTATTCTTCATAAAATCATTAACCCTTTCTTATAAATTTCTTTTTCGATTATATTATTTAAGCTTATTTATTAATAACTGTTAAATACACATACTTAGTAGCTCTATAATATTGAGATTATATAAAAAAAATAAATAAAAAATTATAAATATTTTCTGCATATAAAACAAGATAGTTCTATGATTCTTAAATATCGTAATAATATGAAAGCGTGGTGAATTCAGCTGTTTCAGCAATCCTCCAGTAAATAAGCGTCATTATTATGAATAGTCAGCGTTTCGGAATCACCACGTGTTAGGTCAAGAACCCTTCTGACAAGCCGAGCAATGCAAACTGCGCGTCATCGGAAAATTATGTACAGTGGAAACGAAAAAAAAGAGAAAAAAGGATGGAGAGGATAAAATGTTTGTTCCACGCGCTCTCAATTCATCGGATGGAATCGACGAAACTATTCAAACTGGCAAGAAGCGTTCAAATTTTGCCCCAACTGACGGTAACGTCTATATCGGGGTATAAAATTTCTTTGAAAGTACATGTGGCTCGTCCAAAGCGATCGAACCACAAGGGCTTGCCTGCCCCGTGTCCCTTTCTCTCGCAACGTTTTCCATCTTTCTCTTTGGAGAACGGGGCAAGTCGGTACCCCGCCTCGCTCGTAAAGGGCCATGGAACCACATCATGCTCGACCGGGACACTCTCTGTACACTCCGTATACCTACCTATACTAGGTGTAAGTACACGCGAGAATGTATTATATACCTATATACAGCGCCGGCTCTCTCGGCGTGTAACTGAAGTAAAGCCAGGTTGGTGCCCCCGCTAGGGTGAACGAACGGGTACGCTCAGGCAAAAGCGAACCCGTGTGCCTCCTCCACCTCCTCTTTCTCTTTCTCCATCACCACCACCACCACCACCACCTCCTCTAGCAACGACCTCCATCTCCTCCACGGTTGAAGATCTTCGCCTCTGATGTCACTATGGAATTGCAAATTGTTTTGTCGAATATACTTTGGCCCGTTGGGTAACGATCGGGCTACCGGCGGCCACAGTGAGTTTTTAATCGAACGAAAACGGTTCAAGACTTGCCCACTGGAGCAAATCGTTTTCTTCTTGCCGTTGTCCACCGCTCGCCAAGATCGTGGAATATTTAATCACGGCACTACGTTAAGAAGCGAGTAGCAAAGATTTGTAATTTTATTCGAGCAATTGAATCGCTTCAAGGTTAATTTAACTGCACCACATCACGGGCAACCGAGCGAACGTTTCCATCTCGTGTTTGGTATTGCGCGCATAAATCTCGGGATTTATGAATCGCGAGTTTCGTAGATGGTAATACCCTCCGGATTTATGAATTAATACCGGTCATATTAGACGCATAAATCATAACATTCAAGGTAGATGGTATCGTCTACAAGGATTATCCAACTGGCTTCGTGATTCTACTACTACGCCATTGCTATATAGCCGTGATCGATCTTTACCGTTTTTCCACGGGTACGAGAAGGAAGAAACATCCCTCGTTCGTTTGTTGTCGAACAAACGCGTAGAAAATTTAAGTGCTTATACCGAGAATCGATCGACGAAACATTGCAATTCGTTCGTAAAATTTGTAACCGCAATCTTGTTGATAAAAATCGATGCAGAAAATAAAATCTAATCTAGATGTCTGCGACGTTTCCGTATTGATCGATAGGGCGGGTCGCTTATCGGTTCTTAATTTACGCGTAAGCCGAACGGTATCTGTGAACGAAAACGCAAGCAATTTCGACACGCACGATCTATTTCGCGTCGCTCTAACATCGACTTGACCTACTGGCCCAGATGTAGCTCATAGAAAACTTCCATTTGACCTTGAAGCGATATCAGTGTCCACCCTTTCTTGAGATCGCTTCGTAAGAGGCCGGACTGACGCTACTCCGTGCTATGGCCGCTGCCTGCGAAGCAAAGCGTCGCGAAGCTAATCGAGTCGCGCGAGTTCGACGCGAATTATACGCAATAAAACGTTCTATACCGTTGCAACAGTTGTTAATGCTCGGCTAGTGATTTAGCGAGGTTGATCGCGCGCGTCAACCGATTTCACCGGGTAGAATGCAGAACACCGCCGCCGTAGGGGGTACACCTGAACGGCTAATGTTGAGTTAAGCACCCTAACCTGCCTCAAAAGACATTACACGACGTAACAGATAATAAATCTACCGCGTTTCGCTGCATCGTGATACAGCTCGAAGAAAATGAGAGTGTCGAGAAGGAAGATGGACGAGAAGCTTCTCTTTCGAACGATTACGAACGGTCTAGGGACTCGCAGGATCTTCCATTGCGGCGAAGACTGTGCCAGCCCAAAGAGCGGGAGAAATGAAGTTGGCCGCCGAATAGGAAACGATCAATCGAAAACATCTATGCGAGGCTTGATGCGTGACGTAATACGCGCATGTCGCGAAAGAAAGCAGGGAAAGTATTCAAATGAAGCGCAAACAGTGAGGGAGAGAAGCAGCAGGCACGATCGTTCGTGAAAAAAAAAAATGATCGACTCATCGATCGGATCGTTTCATGCTTCGTAATTATTGATAATCGATACGTATTCGTCGTATAAGAAACTTTGGAATCGAGTATTTTCTTATTCGTACGATGAAGCATATTTGTTAGAAGACGGTGAAAAGTCGAGGGGAGAGCGAGAAGAACCAAAAGAAAGAGAGAGAGAGAGACAGAGAGAGGCAGTGATAACGAAGAAAAAATACAAGGAGAGTGAGTGCAACGAAGATGGCGATAGCTGAGCGAACAGACACGAACAAGTTGGTTGGAGCGACAAGGAAAAAGTGGGGGCTCCGCGAGACAGGGACAGCAAATCAGAGTAGGCGAACGTAGGAGAGAGACGATTGGCTAAGCGCGAGCAGGAAGAGACGGCACGAGCGAGAGCAAGGGACTTCGGGAGTACTCGGCCGCTCAGTCGAACGCGCGATTACAAGCAAACGGGACGCGTGGGCTCTGTCGACCGCCAGGCTGAAAGTGTTTCATACGCGACCACGTGCCGGCTAAACCGCCGGAACGTAACAGAACGATCTACGGTTCGAATTGTTCACCGAGTGACACCGAAAACGGACACGACGACCCGGTTGCGATTGTACTTTTCGTAATTATTGTCGCTACGTTGTCGCGGAATCGAATCGAATCGAAACGAACCCTCGGTGCATCGTGGAGAGTACGGTTAACTGGAGAGAAATTGCTACAAGGACGGTGCGCGTTGCAGTGTGTGGGTGGTTTGTCAGTTGGTGACTTAAAGTGAATTGAATACCGAGCCGACAGATCAACCGATAATTTTGCTGACAACCGTGAAGCAGGAGGGTTTGCGAGTCTGCTGGATCCAGATGTCACGGGCGCGTCCTCGATCGGTGAGTGAGACTTATTTCATATTTAACTGCGATTCGAGAGCGAGCTATTGATATCTAGATAAATAAAACTACGGTACAGTGTTGTTTAATCAAAGTGTTCGACTCGTGTACAGAATTACGACTGTCAAATGACAGTTTTTTCAAATCCTTAACTTCAGTTCTTAACCATAAATTCGGTCCACCGTACTTTGAAAGTAGCTTCGGTTCATAGTACTTCAAGTGTAGATTCGGTCCACCGTACTTCGAGAGTAGCTTCGGTCCATAGTACTTCGAGTGTAAATTCGGTCCACCGTACTTCGAGAGTAGCTTCGGTCCAGTGTACTTCAGGTGTAGATTCGGTCTACCGTACTTCGACGCTACATTCGGTCCACTATACTTCGATTAATCGAAACAGTATCGCGCTTGTTTATCGAAGGAAAATCGAAACGTATCGTTCGAACAAACAACATGGCGCTTTTTATAGATTTTTCGTTGCCATGTTTCCAGCGGAAATGCAATGTGCGTCGCGTTTAGGTTAATAACGAAACTGGAAGGCGTATTTTTTTTTCTTTTTTGAGCGAAATTGGTGAAATCGGGGCAGGGTGGGATCATTGACCGTACGGTTTAAGACGGACTAGGACGTTGTCGAAAGTTTCGGCCAGTCGTGGAAAAAGTGTCGGTTCTCCGAGAATGACCAGCAGCGACCCAATTCCTTGGAGGAACTTTTCCACCGTTTCTGTTCGTTGCGCGACGTTTTCGAGCGCCACGGGAACAACCGACAACCGATAACTGCTTTACCCATTCGATTCTATTCGCCCAGTATTCTTGGTACCTTGTTTATGTTCCTAGCAAAACACGCTGGAACGAACCGAACAGCTATCCCTTTACTTGGAACTAAAATAGATTCGTAACATTCTACGTTCGAGTCGAACCACATCGCGTCAATATTTAACTCTTCTTTAGAATATCTTTCGTACTTTATCTCGATATTTAAACCATACGGGCGGCTCTATAGCGCAGACACACCGGATGTTGCAAGTGTCGTCATGCAATTTTGTAACCTTCCTTTGATTTAGTAAAAAAGACTCGTTCCGTGAACTTGAAAACTTGGCAGCAAAATTCAAGGAAATTTTCAAAAATTCTTCCCGATGCGCGGAAGAGCATATCTCGTATCGAACGTCTTTAAATACGTTGATTTTCGCGTACAGCAAGACATTTTGGAGCTTAATTATTAAGAAGTTGGTGTGTTAAAATTAACACGATTACTTTCTGTATCACAATGGTTCGTCTTCGTATAAATTCTCGTTCACGGTTCGCGATCTCGTTCGCGCTTTCTTCGATTTCTATTAAAAATTTTAATGGTGCCCGCGGCAGGCCGGTTAATTACAGCCGGAACGAAGAGAAGAGGTGGGAGAAAGCGCGGACGAAATTAAGAAGGAACGGGCAAGCTGATTACAGAAAGTTTACGTAGAACGAGTAAGCGTTATGGCTAGGTAGCGTCATGTTAAAGCGTATATTTATAACGAATCGCGGAAATCATAATTCCGAGGAGACGCGTACAGGCTATATGCCGCGAATTACAGAGAAAGTTTACGAACCGTTGCATACACACGTTCCTACCACGTTCTCCAATGCATTGTAAGCAAAAAGGAAAATAACAAGTAAAAACGCAGCTTCGATGAAAAGTGAAATTAACAGAATCGAATCGTTTGATTATTCTAATCAGATCTAATTAGCAAACGCGCACGCATTTGCGTAATCGTTAAACAGAGAGACATGATTTTCGATACAAAAGTAAAGAATTCTTCGCTCGTTATATTTATCCATAAAAGAGTAGCCTTATCCGATGCGAAGAGGGTTAAAAGCATGAGGATTGTAAGAATTGCGAATGAAGGAAAAGACAGCGAACCGGAAGCTTCGTCAGCGAATCGCGGAAGGTATCGAGAGCACATAGGGTAGGGAAAGAATGTTCGAAAAGTGTCTAGGCGAGGCCGGGAATGAGTCGTGCTTCACGTTTCCCCTTTTGTCACGACGGAGAAGTGTGCTTTTCGTGAAATTCGTCCAACAGAGTGTCGCAGGAAAGACGGAAAGAGAGACGTGACTTTAGCCATAAGCCGTAGGTAGGCCGCACAGAGAGCATGGACAAGCAAGCAAGTCGAGTTGAGAGGCGCGGACGGGCGGTCAGAGACCCCGCAGGGCCGGCGCAAACAGTACAGCATTACCCACTCGGTTCTCCTTCTATCGCAAACCTGGACCCAACGATGCTCTCGATAATCGTCCCTGTGTATTCCTCTTCATCGATTATCACGACGAAAAATGGATAATTTTCAATTTACCATCGCTACCACTCGGCACCTTAAGGATTGTACGTTTCGTAGATTCATCGATACTTGGAATTTTAATCAGGCGTTACGTTTGTTCGAGAAGTTCGCGCCGAATAGCGTAGATGAAACGTAAGAAAAATGTAGCAAGCGGGTAAATAAGGATTTTAGAAAGCAAGAAGACAAGCGTGTCCATCGGTTGTTCACACAGCTAGCTCGTATTTCTTTGTTAACAAAGTGGGGGATATTAGGTAGCCGCGGCCACGGTAATAATTGTCGAGGATTAATAGTCTGCGATGCTTTTTCGCGGTTGTTACGCAACATCGTTACACCTCCTTTCGCTTGCATGCTTTCTAGACACCATTGCACGATTTTTCGAGTACTAGAATCGACCAAAGGCGTTCGGTTCTTGCGCGAAATTCTATGAAACTTGATAAGATACGGTTAAACGAGAGGAAACCATTTTTATATCTTGTTTGAAGACAAAGTCGAAAGTAAAATCGTTCGTGTTACGTAAGGCATTTGTTCTGCGAACAATTCTTTGTCGAAAATCAAGATTTGTTAACACATTGTTGACCGGTCACGAGTTAATTCGTTTATTCAAGTTTATTTAGATTCTTTTACCTCCACATTTAATTACGAAATAATAGCCAGTGACAATAATTTCAATGTGTTAATTATGAAACGGGGCAACTATCGGTCAGCGAAACGGTATAAATCGCAACAATTTTTCTTTAATAAAAATACAGAAGATTAACTCTTATTGGTCACGCGTGACGAAGGAGAAAAAGTAACTTTTGAATAGCGTACGGCACGCGCGTGCACGATCATCGATTATCGGAACTTGGCCGACCACGTTGCCGACCATTCTACTTGCCCGATAATTCGCGTCATCTACTACTAGTGTCGACCGATCTCTACCAATCTTTTCACGTATTATTATACAAATATTTACCGGTGTTGGGTTAATCGCAAGTGTAGAAAGGCGCGAAAGAGGAAACGCGATGAAGTTAAGCGTGGTTAAACGGGGATATAGGGTAGCAGCGTCAACGACGTGCATGAATTTTTGATCGCTGGCATAAGCGATGAACGCTGCTGGAATTTCAAACGACGCCCAGCGACGTTGTGTATTATGAATTTCTAAACGTGGACGCGATCGTGTGCTCCAGACCGATGTCGGCTCTTCAATGAATCGAAACTAGTTGAAGTGAAAAACATACGACTGGCATACATTAAAACTAAGGGTATAAACTTGGTTCGCGTTATTAAGATTATTCAGGGACGCATAAATAAGTATTAAGAGCGTTCAATTTACGGACAAGGTTCGTTCGAAGAATGTTTACCAGTTGCTGATATTAGAAATGAGATTTTTCCAATTACCATTTGGTTCCTCGAGAACGCGTAATTACGCTCATTGATAAACGCCAGTGAATAGCGTGAAGCTTAGCGAAAGGGATAACTCGAAGAAAGTTTCCGCGTGGTATGGCACGCGGACAGAGAGATGATTTTATGAACACCCGGTATTTTGCGGTGTAACGCGCGTACATGCACCACGGTGCAGCTATGTGCACGTATATAAACGCATACATCGAGGATGCCAGTGAACCGAGCATTATAGTGCCCTGCAAGAAACGTCGGCCTGGTGCATTGACCGCGGTTGACCACACGTCATCGAATGAGTGACGTCACAGGGTTTGCTGCATGAAAGCTACGTCACGGTTGGTTGCATCCACCAAGATGCATCCACGAAAATCTTGCTTCTCCCTGTTTAGAACAACCGACGGAAGAATTGAATCGCATTCAACCGTTGTGTATCTTCGCTTTCTTATAGCGTAGAAGAGTT